CGATCATTGGTGTCCTGCGACAGGCAGGGGATTAGTATCCAAACGTCTTCAATATATCGCTTACGGATACTTGTCACGACCAGGTTTCCGGACTGCCAAAACTGTGTAACACCTGGAATTGGGGATGGCTGGCTGATGATGGCTAATAAGCTAGAAATGGTCATTCTAATTTCCCTTGTTTTGTCGGTGATGTTTATTTACCTATGATACTAGCCGCTGTGCGGCTGCTGATGGGGCTCGAGAGTGAGTCCCATGGCGGAACGGGACAAGTGAGTCCCTTAACCAAATGGTGAGCGCTAATTCATCGCTGTTAATATTTCCAGTCGAAACCTGCTAAACGATGAACCCGCGGCCATTGGACTTCTAATCAACAGGCTGCGGGTTCGAGCCTCGGGTGTTGCAACGCCTAGGAGTTGGATATGATTGGTTGGTGACGGCTTCTAAGCCAGAAGTGTATGTTTCAATCTTCGTTGTTTTTGTCGGCTGTGTTCATCTTCTTTCCGGTCTTTATTTTTCATTGGATCGTCTAAAAGCGACCGAGCATTCCAGTCTACTAATGTGAACAGTGCTACTCTAGCAGGTTGTAGAGAGGCATACTGATGAGAATTATTATTATTTTACAGTGTTTCGGCCGCATATCTTGTGTACGCAAGTCACAGATAGCTTGCCGACGATGCGTTCTGTCAAAATTTTTATTTGTCGTTTCCAGCCCCCTCCCCCAGAAGAGAAAGTAGTGCCTCCACAGATAGGATTGCGTAGGCATCCGAGGCGGCTACTAAACTTCTCTGCAGGTCACTACCTTGTTATAATGGAAAGGCGAGCTAATTTTGTCGGAGTCGCCCGCAGATTCACATGTTCTCTTCGATAGAATTTTTGTTCAAGAGTGGGACAGAGAGAATGGGGTTGATTAAAATTGTTACCTTGTACGGATACACACGCCAGATATCATCGTCTGGTTTAGCTCGTCCGTCAAGGACTGCTGTAGGGATGTGGCCATCCTGCTAAGCACTGCTTCTTGGACCCACAACTGAGAGATGAGTAGAAAGACTGAGCGAAGTAAAGTATTCAGCAGGTTCGCCAATGTCTTTGCTGGGGTCGCCAAAAGTGCTTTGCACGATCTTGGTCGTGTTGTTGTGTATGTTACCCATGTCTGCGTGACATTTCCCTACAAGGTATTTTCTTCAAGACAACTTTGTCAATATGTCGTAGTACAGTGGGCTTACAATCACGTCAACGAACCTGAAGTGACCGTAGAGCCGCGACGTGGGCTTCTGC